TTCGAAGGCGGCTCCGGACGTGGCAACAGAGCTTCGATCCGTCGGATCATGCGGAAGGCCTCGTCCAGATCGGTCGAAGAGGCCCGGCGATCCAACCGCAGATGCAGGGTCGTGACCTCACGCTCCAACAGGCCCAGGCGGCCCGCAAGACGAGCGAACTCACCCTGATTCACGGCATGGGTGGCAGCATCCCCACCAGTCCCAAAGCCAAGTGCAATCTTAAGCACGAGGACCCGTTGACGAGGGCGGTCAACCTCAGGGCTCTGTGTCGGACCCGCAGGAGAAGCACTCAGACGAGAATAGCGTTAGGGAGGCGCCGAGTACTCGTACTCGTACGAGGGCACCTCCACCCCTGCTTGACCGGAATGGAGAAGTCCACTACCACGTGGAGCGGATCCTCCAGGAGCAACGGCGTCGCGGTAAGCGACAGCTCCTCGTGAAGTGGAGGGGTTATGCCCACTCCGAGAACTCGTGGAAGCCAATTGAACGGCTCCTGATAGACTGCCCAAAGGCTGTCGCAATCTGGGAACAGAAGCGGCGGCGGTTTCATAAGTAGTCCGAGCCTTCTTACCTGAACGAGGTACGGTTGACGATGACACTCTGTACCCGCGCCCATCGTGAGCGCTAGAAGCCGCGCGCTTCAGAATGTCCCTTGGCAGCATGCGCTTGCTGACCAAGTGGGTGAGCCGGACACGAAGATCACGCTGGTCCCGGATGCGGGACAGCAGCTGATCTTCATGGAGCTCCCGAAACTACGAGGGCAAGTACTTGAGAGACTCAGCCCACGCCCAGAACATGTCTTCACACGAGTTCAGGTTGGAGCAGTTCCAGTTAGAACAGCTCTCGGGAAGAACCCATGGGGAGCCCCATAGAGGATAGAGACCACGGGCTTCTTACGACAAGTCAAGAAGTCCTTCAGATGGATTCGGTACGGCGCGAGAAGCACGCACCGGACCGGTTCCAAGCTCTCGTCGAACAACTGCTTCTCCCGGACCAGGGCACGTTCGTAAATGCCCTAAGAAGTGTAATCACCGGTAAGGCCACGAGGTTTGAGCTCAGTAGAGTTTGTACGTTATTAATAATTATACCAAGAGAATGCAGATATCACTGACGATGTGTGCTTAGCGTCACGGGTGAGCAGCGTTTGGACATATTGAGAGTGCTGTGGTGTTTCAGGCTGTTGGCGATGGTGTAATGGTATTTGCAACACAGGTGTTCTGACCACAGGCTTAGAGGTCGCGACGGTGCTGAACTCGTCTTGCGCTATCCAATTATACATGGAATTATTTATCTACGCTCGAATTGCGTTTTTAAACACGCAATATGGATCGATTTATAGGAGATCGATGGAATTTGTTTCGAAATCCATCTCGTGTGCTCGATTTAGTCTGTCGTAGCTCGATTTATCGATCTCTAGCTAGATCGATCTGCCTTTTTTTTGGAGCTCGATATACAAAACGAGTAATCTACTATTATAGATGATAAAGCTACCTAATTGACAACGACGAAAATTCTGACAGACACAATAGGTAATCATTTACCCCCCCCCCCCCCAACGCCCAAGCCAGTTTTCGGACTTTACCAAGATTTTTCACATGTTGTATGTTTCAGCATGTTATAGACATCATACACTTGATTTTAATATGGTCTCCTTTGAGTCCGACGCTCTAATCTGAAAAACGCGACATGAGATCTCTCTTTAAATCGCAAGCCATGTTGTATGTACACCATGAGGGGACTAAAGATGTTCATCTATCATCATATCAGCTTCGACAGGGTATCTGAGTGGCCTTTCTATCAAGAGACTGGTCAGCACAAATGTAGATGCAATTGAAAGCAACAAAGTCATTGAAATCGCCAGACTCAACAAGTGTAATCCAACATGAACAGTGCAGACTTTCACCAGCACCCTACTATTCGTCTTGTTCTTGATCCTCACCACCTGAGAGTACTCTGTCTCCATCACTATTCATTTCTTCGCCATCGTCGTCTGGCGCGTCCTACTCGCCACTATCGCTTTCCTGTCCGTCTCCTGCTTGACTGCCAGCCTCGAGACGCTTGCGCTTTTTTCATCCACCTGTTCCAGCAGCTCAGCTCTCAATATCGCGCCCACAGCACGGGTTTGCTCCATTACCCCACTTGTTGTGCAAGATCTAAAAGCACGTCATTGGTCTTCCAGGGTAGTGCTTCCACGCCTTGCTGCACAGATATAACCTGCATAGATTAATTAGTCTTGCGTTCAATCGCCGCAACCGAATCGACTTGTACGTTCCGCGCTTTGTCGAACTTGCTGCAGCCAGCGCATAAGTATTTAGTTGCACGACGCTCACCAATCTTGCGCTTCAAAATCGAGCACAATTTACATTGCCTCTGACGACGCTTGCGAACGCCATTTACGACTTGCCAGTCTGGGCATTCCACTGGTTCGTGATATTTTGTAAACGGTGCTAGATCTTTCTCATCACTATTCACATACGAGGCGGTAGACTACAAACAAAATATAGCTTGAATTCGATACATCCAGCACGTCAACCATACAACATCACAGATGCAACGATACATCCAGCATATCAACCATACAGCACGAGTTCTTACCCTCTCAACGAAGTCTTTTCTCTTCGTCGCCAGCAGCTGTGCATGGAGCCCCAGCAAAATCTAAGCGTGGGAAGTAGGTCTGACGTCAATTCGCTGTTGTGCATCGCGGAACACGATATAGGTGTTCGCAATTGCTACGCCAACCAGCTCCATGAAGAGAACCTTGTAGTGTTTCCTGCATCATGTTTGCAGCTGGAGGTAATTCCGCTGAAGTCAAAGCTGATCGTGTATGTCGACCCCTCCCATCCAACGGTGATAGCCACGGACCATGGATGTGCATGGGACGACGTGGCGTATCCCACCTGTGTCTCGTGTTCGTCTCCCTGATGACATACCAATCCAATTGTCAGATAGAGTAAAACATAAAGGCATAGTTAACGTACTGCAAGATTCCATCGACCAACTTGATCCTGCCTCCAAGAACTGCACGGGCTTGCGGTGCCACCATACGAGACCGGTCACCAAAGGACAATTTTTAGCGACTGCCATGCACACAGTGCCATGGGCAATGCTTTAAGGCCGGTCTCGATTAGTCTCCACAATATCACGTAGGTATCCAACCTTGTCTCCTGTAATACTTCCGATTGAATACACGTTACAATGCAACAACTGGAATGCCAGTTGCACCGATGAGTAGAATCTATTCGTGACAACAAGATGATACACACCCTCCTTTAACACCGCCTCAAGGTTGCGAATCACAGCGGAGGGCCCCGTGTTCGGATCTACAGATTGTTGACTCGCAGGTACATTGCGCACTTCTTCCAAATCCTGCGCCTTGTCGCAGTATTCTTCAAGTCTACATGTTGTACATACAGCAAGTAACATCATGTCAAATACAACATGTTGACTCGGACCAAACAAAAAGCAAGTCCCAATGCTCACCTTAAACAGTAAGCTATGTCGGTACAGCAAGTCAAAATCAGCTTCGTACCCCATTGTGGGACTTCACTTTAAGATATTGGCGAGTTGGGTTGTTCCGGTTCCGCGACAGGATTATTCCTTCGTCAACAGAGAGAACTGGAGGAGTTTTGTATCCAAGCGGGAACCTCTCTTGGAGTGTATCGATCACCGATTGCAGGTGGCTTAAACATCTGTACTATTTTAAAAGTGCAAGTTCGACATAATGCGGTAGAAGCGATGACAACGCATGTAATAATTGAAAGTGCCGCGGGCAACTGCTCCAACACGTTCGGCTTGCCAATGATCTTAAAATCAGCGACGTTGCGGGTTCAGCATACGCGCCATAGATGGATCAACGTGGGGAGCGATCCCCTGGCCACGTTGAAGATCAGTCGCTCTCAGTGTGAGCATCTTGCGCTTGCTTTATGAAAGCGACGACGAAGGTCTCGTCGAGGAGTCACCAAATTGAGCCATTGCAATGGCAGTGGAGGGCGAGCGGATACGCAAGGCGCGACAGCGAGGCAGGAGCAAGCTTACACGAGCGTATCTACTGCCGAATCCACGCCCCGGCACATCCTGGGAGAGCAGGTGGACATGACTCCGCATTTATCCTTACGAGTGGTTTTGATGTAGCAAGATCCCATTTCCTTTGGAGCGGTTCTCGGAGGTTTTCGAAGCGACGCTAATTTGAATGGCGTGAGCTACCTGCTAAAGCGCTTATTATCGTCTGTTGGTGCCCTTGGACTTGTGCTTTACTTCCTCAACTCCACAATAAACGATATCGCTTTTTATGAGATTTTTGGCCTGACGCCGACCGTTTGCAGCCACCATCTCGTCTTTGGAATAAACCCTCTGCTGGTAACGCTCCGAAGAGCACCCGAAGGACGCATATCATGATCAAGAAGTCTCGCTGAGTATCGAAATATTGCTGATATGATTGCAGACCGTCATGAAGATGACTTTAATTTCGTAGATGGGGTGAAATCCCAGGTGCAGAGTCGCTAGATGAAGACATGCAGAACTCCCAGTACAACGACTGGACGCGTCTGCATTATTGTGCTTCAGGCTTTGCTTTTTCCCATGCTGGAACGATTAGCTGTGCTTCTCTAAATTCCCCAGGGAGTTGACACGATGCTGCTGTTGCTCACGAGCCATACAGCAAGCCGCCAGAGAATACACCCAAGTTTTATTTTGCTATTGCGGGTTCCGCTTTTCCGAAGCCTCGCAATACAGTATTCAGTCAAATCAGAGCAAAACGTTATCGTCAACCGCAGCTTCTTCGGGAGAAAATATCACAAACACAGTAAAATATCTGATCAACCCAAGACAATGCTAACGAGCACAAGTCCAGTGACGAGACATGACTGCTCAATTTGCGCCGTCGTCCAATAGACACTGGTCATTAGGAATGTCCGGAAAACGTTCTCTAAGGCGCTGCGCCCTCAAAGAGTACATTGTGTCGTATACTGTATACATTACGTGTACCAGAATTTATCGCGACTATGGCGGCCACGGTGAGCATTGCTCGCTGAGAAATGACTTCGATACCTGCCCCTATGAAGTGGCGGCGATGGCTAAGCACGATCACAATTGAAGCGTCTACACAAGCGCACAGGCTAAGCACGATCACAATTGAAGAGGCTACAAAAGGGCACAGGCTCTGGAGCATAGCGACGCCGGTGGTGCAGTCACGAATAACGGACCATTGTGGCACGAGCCACGGGAGCATCGACCGCCGCTGAAGTTCTGAGAGAGCCGCTGGATCGCCGCTGTCGTTTGGGATCTGAGTACCAATCGCGGCCATTTCTCAAGGTGCTGTATTGTCAAATTGCTAGATCGAAAAAGGACCGCATAATCTAATCTAGTGCTTGATGCAGCAGCTTGCACGCGATGATTATCCTACCAACTCGGCGCCAGTGGCCCAAACCTCGAGCTTTACCACGTAACGTTGCTGCTAACAGAACATGTTGAAGGTCATGAAGGAGGGCAACAACTTGTAGTTAGCATATCTGCTATCACTCAGCTCAAAACGTCTACTACGTATTCAGAAACAAGGCACTTCAAGAGATGTGACGCTGCAGGATGAATTACTTAAACGTACTGCAGCCTTCGACGTGTTTAATTTTTCTGCAATGCACGTCCAGCATTGATCGGTCGCTCTGGGCTACGCTTGTCGCCCACGTCGCCATCTCACCCGGTCCGTTCAGGTAGTTACGAGCGCGCAGGCCAAAACGTCGATGAGCAGAGCAGTTCATTTTGGCTTGGACTCGACAGCGACAATGGCCCGTCTTGATGTTGACGGCTTACCGTGTACTTGGCTGCTCATTCATCTCCTTCCAAGCATAGTTGACCGAAAATTTAGCGGTTACATCAAGAGCTTCCTCCGAGCGGCCTCGGGACGGAATGCAGAAGCGCGACGGTTGCACTGCAACAACCCGTACGAATGCTGGAGCTGGTGCCGTTTAGCAAGAGGTACGCTAATGTACATGCTTACGAAGAAAGACTCCAGCTCGAAGGGATGTGGCACGAGCTTGGAGACGCTTTCGGAGGAACGCTCCTACTGAAACCCCAGAGAGGCTATAGACCGATGGCTGCAGCAGTTTCGCATCTACTACAGCAGCAACACTAGTTTCAGCTTTCGTTTCTGAGTATAGTCGCGCTTGAACGCGCGGTTAAACGTTTTGCAAGAATTATTCGTAGTCGCTAACTCGGAAGGCGCAAGGTAGCATTGCCATCCACTTAAGTTTCCTTCTAGGCATCGCTTGTTCATAAACGTCCTGAATGCGTCCAGCTCGCGATGCTTGCTCTACAAGAACATCATCCGCTCCTTCTGCACCGTATACACTTCCTCCATAAACGAAAAGTGGAGAGCATATATGCCAGAATACACCATAGCCACAACATCCCCATGCAGCGCACGCGTCCGTTCTTTGAGAGTCGGCCGTACTTTGGCAATGACATGGTAAACACACATGAGGTACGTATACGTGCAGTCGACACCAAACACACGTTTTAGCGCGTTGAATTGAGCACGGTCAGCGTCGGCATCACATATTGCACATTCATGCGCTCGACGGTAACCTGCATGTATACCGTGCGCAGAGCAGCGAAGGCCTCAGCAAAATGGCTTTCTTCCACTAAGAATTAATGAAGAGAGTCAGCAAATGAAATTTTCAGGAGCTATCCGAGAGTCCGTAGACGATGACCGGGTAGCTGACTTGGTCGAGCTGGAGGTGGTATGAACGTGCAGAATAACTGACGACGGGACGCGATTGGCTGATCGCAACAGAGCCTTTGCTGTGACTCCAGCAACAAATGGGCGTGCGTCCGATCCGTCGCCGGCAATGCACTTGCCACTGGCATCGGAGTCTCGGGTGAATGTGAGCGCATTATGCTTTCCTTCGCGTCCTGTAAAGGATGCAGTAGCAACGTGAGCAGCAACGTCGCTAGCACGATCGCTACCACCTAGTTTTGTTCTGAGATAGCGGCTCACGCAGCTTTGTACTTTCCGTAGTTGTGGTAAATCTCTGATACTCAGACCAAACTTTCGGGTCATTGTATGTAGAATACGAAGTGGCGTCAGATTTTGGTGAGTCATGTCGTGAATAAACAGCCGTTGATCGATGGTTTCCGGCTCGGAATAGCTGCCGAGAAGTATTTGCCAAGTTCACTCTTGGATACGGTCTTGGCTTCCTGGCAGACCAGCATCTTGCATGGCACGGGCACTTGGTAAACAGAGCTACTGCCTTGTGCTGCTTGCACACACAGCGTAGTATATTGTACCGCATCGAGTGCGGGGTTGCCGAAGCGCTTACGGTACACGGCATGAGCTGACGCTTGCCAGTCTTGAAGGCTTCCATGCCAGGCAGCAGTAGATCAGCATCTCCTTCGAGAATTTCACTGCAGATCATCTGCTAGGCGCGCTGGGAGGGCATGATGAGGAGAGGTGGGGTGACTGGAGAATAAGTGGATGTTTTCTAGAGAATTCAAAAGCGAGATATGATCGCATGTTGCAAACTTGTTTCTACAATATATTTTGCTGTGCCCAACCATTTTGTGATGTGCTGTCACAATATTTAGTGTGGAGGACCAGAATTTGTTTTTAGAGAAAGGCAGACGATTCTATTTGGTCATTAACGACGGCTAGATGTCTGTTTGATCCTAAGACTGATTATCAACGTTGGTTCCTTTGGACACCGAGGCTGTACGAAGCTTGTCCTGTGAAGGGACATCTCTTTGGGCTGGTTGTCTAGCTCTTGTAAGCAGAGTAGGAGACGCGTCCCTTTTACTATTCGTTCAGGGCACCGTCTATCGCGTGTGGCTACTGCCCGTATTTTCCTTTGTTCTGTAGCCCAGAACTCCTGCATACTTCGTTTCATTGTTACTTCTTCATGCTGAAAAGCGACTCGATTGCGCTGTATCCACAGCGTTGTAATACATATACTGCATAGTATTCTCCACATCCGTTTCTAGGCCATCGCGTACTGATCGGCCTCATCTGGGTAGAGATTTGGTAGTTTTTCTGCGATTGCTTTTGACAGCTCTGGAGCTTGTCGACCTGCGCAGTTCTTTTGAAATGTGTCTAGGGTCTCCAGGTTCGAACACTCCCCTGTCCAGTGACAGATTATTTTCTGCCAGCATACTTGAGCGCATGCACAGTTCCAGAAGATGTGCTTCATTGTCGCCTTGGTATCGCGACAACATTCTAGCTTCTGGCAGCTATTGTCAACTAGCCGTGTCGGATGATGTAGGTTTAATTGTCTGAGTGCTACTCGATAGCAGACCCATACCTAATACTCGTTTAATTCGTTTTGATGAGCCCATAACCGCTTTGGGTCCTGAGTTAAGGCCGCCGCTTGCCAGTGACTCGTTTTTACCGCTTGCTATTTCTTTTCCACTATCGCTCCTAGCGATTCTTCGTCACTTCGGTACTTCTTAAACGCTAGTTTCTCGATTGCCTTCAGAACATGTTTGTTGACAATTGAATGCGGTACAGTCCACGGAAAGTCGTGAAGTCTCAGATGCGCTGTAAATACAATACCCCATTCGCGCTCTCGCTGCTGTAACGTCATCATATCCATCGTGAGCTCCGAATGTTGTAGCGTCGATTCTTGCAACCCCCAATGAATTCCATTTAGTTGTTGGATCAGCTCGATTAAAGCTTGCTGATGTTCGTCTTTGTCGGTTGCATTGCATCCGACTACCGCTCTTTCCAACTACTTCCCAATTATAGTCGTACTCTAAGGACAGTGGATGCCGCATTGCCACTGTATTTCCTATGCGTAGTGTCTCGCCGATGATAAGCTGTGGGATACTGCTTAAGACCGCAATGCTCCACCGTCGAAGTTTCGCTTTCTGATGTTGTTTATCTTCGACGGAAACGGACACCTGGTAATGAATTAGCGCCGACGGAATGCACAGCAGATAGTAAGCAACGGCCGCAACAACAACTACAAGAACTGGAAGTATCGTCAGAACGCACTGTCAATGATGACGAATGGAGGATCGAGTTTAATCAAGATTTCACGGAACCTCAATTGAGCTGCACGACAATGGAGAAGATATTCTGGTCATCCTATTATTGGAATGTCAATAATAGTCTGTTAGACCAGACGGGATCAATGCTGACGAGCAAGAAGTATAAGAGAATTACACATTGCACTTTAGAACAGCTGAACATCACCAGAATCGGAACAAGGGCATATACGATGATAATTCCAGGCAAAGAAGATGCAGAGCGAATTTGACAAGTTCGTAGGTATACCCCACGACCGATAATTATCGACTCAAGACAACCATGTCCTTATGACACCCGTTTTAGAAGCAAAAGTGAGTACAGCAATAGCAGTACTCAACCGCCACAAAGCAGCTGGACCAGATGGCCTAAACAACGACTTTTCCAGGACACTGAAGCGATGTTAGTACCAGCAATAGCGGCAATCAGTAACGAACTGATCGATGGTAGTACTCCACCGTCCTCCTACCTACAGGCTCTGATAATCCCGCTCAAGAAAGGAGACTCAGACGACGCGATGGACTACATGCCAATATCGTTGCTTCAAACAGGCAACAAGATATTTACGAAGGTAATAGCAACCAGGGCACAAAACGTTATGGGCAAGCCGATAGGAAACTCCCAACAAGGCTTTAAACACGGTCGGCAAATGATGAAGACTGTGATGATGATGCTGGCAATATTAGTCACAGCCAAAGTAGAACCGGCGATATTGAGTCGAGTCACACTGCTCTTAGACTTAAAAACGCTTACGACACAGTATCACGCGATTTCCTTTTCTTACTCTATCACGATTTAGATTCTCACCGGAATGCATAGATATGATCAAGAGGTTACACGCCGAAACAACAGCCCAATTTCTCGTCAACGGTATTATCAGATCAGCTAGAAATCACGTCAGGTATTCGTCAAGGCTGTCCTCTAGCTTCGTTGCTCTTTTTCCTTGCAGCTGAAGTGTTAGCGTTGGCTTCCAGCAAGATGACACAATTCAAGGCATTGAGGTACCCAGAGCTCCAGCCCAAAGACATACGTTCTCAGCCTTTGTAGATGATTCCACAGTATTTATACAAGAAGCTAATCAACTTCCTCAGGTAATGCGGCTATTCGAAAGATTTGGGGACTTATTCGGCCTACAAGTTCAACCAACAAAGCGTCAAGCGATTTATCTCAATGCGGCTGTCGAAATGGAGACCACTCATGACATTCCAGTTTTACAAGTAGTAGAAACTGTTCAATACCTTGGCTTTCAAGTCGGAACCGGACCATTGACAGACATCAATTGGGCGACAAGAATACGAGCCAATTAAAAACGACTCGCAACAGCACCTCAACTTTCTAACAGCGTGGCTAATCGAGTCCTTCTGTTGAATGTTTTCATGCTGCCATCGGTGTTATTCACAGCAGTAGTTTTCGAGACACCTCACTGGGCCGAGACACAACTTAGGAATCTCCAGAAATAATTTATGTGGTATCATTCAACAAAGACGGATACTTCTAGACATAAGATCGCACCGAGCTTGCTCTTCACGCCCAAATTAGCAGGAGGAGTCGGTTTAGCATCGATATCGATTGCATGCAAGACTCATAAAGTCAAGCATGCAATTCAATGGCTTATCACAAGTACTCAGCGGCATGGCGGGCCTGGGCTTTTAGAGGGGCTGATCAACAATGGGAGAACGGAGTGTCCCTGAGACGGCAGAACATCAAGAAGCACTGTACTATGCACTGTACCTAAGACTGTTGCCCATTCCAGTCCAAATTTGGTCGCTAGGTTCATATTTCGGGTAAAACCTGGCCCGTGGATATGCTGGATGTTTGCTATGGTTTAATCACGTTCCCAGTTAGAGGCTCGTTTGAATACTCAACAAAGCCGTTCTGTATTTCGTTTCAGTTGCTCTCGCATTCGGACAAGATGCTGTGCACGTTGTTCTTTGGCAGAGACGGTCATAGTTTCCTTCCTTGTTTTAAGGTGAACTCTGTTTTGGACATTGTTCCGGTGTTTGAAGTCTTGTCGTCTGCTCCGTTCTTTCTGAGTTATAGCACGAATACACTTTTGGCACTGTTCGATAGTCGAATCCCATGTTGCGATTGACGCGTCTTGATCTACACGTTGCTTCACTAGTTGATCTAATAGAGTTTCTCGAACTCATTCGGTTGAGATGTTCGAATTGGGTAAGCTACGTCTCGTTTTTCTTGTCGCTTGTCCCTTTGGGGTGTCTCCCTGTGTGAATTACTACGCGCTGGTGGTCTGACGCTGCTGATGGTTCCGTGACCTCCACCCATTGTACTTTTGTCGTCCAGGTTGTTGGTGCGTACAATCTGCCGATTCTACTCGCTGCCTCCGGTCCCCAGTACATGTAGAACTCCGTTTGTAAGAGCTGGGCAGCTTCGTCATCAGCTTGACCTGTTAATGTCGTGGCATTTTCTATTTGTAAAATCGTAAGAAGCCCTTGTAGCGCTGCACTTTATAGATCTTCCGGATCTTACGCCACCCAGTCTATCTAAGACGGGACTGAAAACACAGATAAAGTCGCCTACCGATAGTATCTCCCGCGATGGCCATGTCCACGACTGTAAACTGCCAAAAAAAAGTTTTCGATCCGTGTTTGGCGCGTATACATTTACCAGTACACTCTCTCGAAACTTGACTGCTATCACCTGTTTCGTCCATTTATCTTGTTGCCATGGCTCAACTTGATGGGCTATACCTTGTTGACCCCAAATACGTTTCCAGTGATCCATCAAATGTTGTGACTCGTCGTCCGATTCAACGTGTGTTTCTTGAAGTAACCAGATTAAAGGCATATCTTTCCAAAGTGTCCGTCTCCATCCGTCCAACCAACGCTCTCTGTTTCCTGCAACAACCCCTCTTACATTTTGCGTCTCTATGCGCCATTGATCCGTTGTCCCCACTCGTCTTCTGTTCTTCTTCCTTGTGCAGTGGTCTCCTTGCAAATACACATGACGACTGTAAACGTCCCCTGCGGTTCCATTTTTTGCTTGTCTTGGAACCACAGTAGGTTGCTCACTACATCCTTTAATCACGACGTTTCCACCCTTCTGCTCCACGCTCTACTGCGTCGGAGAAGAAGTGTGATATTGCCCCAGTCTACTGACCATCGCGTAGCTGCATACGCCGTCTTGTAGGTTTCGAACGCTTCGAGTGCAATAAGATGTCGTGTTAGTCGTGCGATTGCTCCTTGATCATCATCTTCTTCTCGATCTGTTAGTACTCGATTTTCCTTGCCATAGACAAAAGCACAAAGGAGATGTTGCCTCAACCATAATTTGTTACCGACGTCACATAACTTCAGGTCTTCGTCATTTCCATAGCCTTTGTTTCTGAGTCGGGTCCAGTTGTCTCGGTTATCAATTTGGGGCGCAATTGTTTGCGGAGGTGGTCTGAGTTGATTTCTCCAGGCATCAATCAATGCTTGAGCTCGTTTGTCGTCTATTCTGGCTGTGAAGGCAGCCAAGCTCTTGTACAAACATTTATGTCTCCACCGCGCCGTCCGTACTTCCATGACTTGTTCTACTAGAGAACTAAGTACTTCTTCTGGGAAGCAATATATTTGGCACATACCAAAAAGAGCCATTGGCTCTTGCTGGACAGTATAACACCACTCCTCCACTGTACTTATGAGCAATGGAAACGCCGCCGTCGCCAAAGTCGGCCAGACCTGTGCCAGCTTGCCCCAATAATCTGCCTACGCATCTGTTGAGTCTTTCTGGGATTGTTGTTCTTCCGTAGTTTTGATTATTTCCATCGGCTCAGCTGTCGCTACTACCATTTATGCAGGACCAGAATTTGTGGTGCGAATCATTGTCGCGCTGTGCCGACCTGTAGTTATTGTGGATTTGCTGGGGTAGAGAAGAGTTTGAGGAGCTAGATCAATTAAAGAAAGTATTTTTATAAGACTTCTCGCATAAAAAGGCTAAAAAATATTTAAAGAAAGAGAAGAAGCATAATATGCTTATTCTTTTTTTATATTTTTTTTATTGAAATGTATTGCGCTCAAATATAAATTTCTCAGTTAGATATTTCGATAAACCAGGCGTTGAAGCCGACATTTGCATTTCATTTTTAAGCTCTTTCCAAGTTTAAGATAATGAGAATCCCCCGCCCACAGCAGTGAATAAGAAAATCTCTATTTTAAAAGCATTGCTAGACCATCTTATAAGATACAAAGCAGGTATTACATGCAATAAGCTTTGTTTTGACAAAGCAGTCAGAGCTTCTCGTAGTTGTTGTTTCAGTACTTTTATTGAAAATATAAGCAACATAGAACGCCACTCTTAGTCTGAAACCTAGAAAAAATATATGTTGCACGTACAGGTTCGCCTATTATTAGTTTTGCTTTAAACTTCTGGACACATCAGCTCCGATTTCGAGCGACCAATGCATTTAGTATAATAATAGTATTGTGCATTTCAATGCTTTTGTCCTTTTCACTAAACCTGAGCTCGATTTATAATAAATGAAGGTCGTTTTATTAAATCGAGGTCTATAAAAAGTACAAATCGATCAAGCTAGACTGGCTGATAAATCGAGCTACGGCAGTCAAATCCACCGCTCGGCATCGATCAACCACCAAATCCACATCGATATCTTGTAAATCGACCATTTTTGCCGTTTTATAATGGTAATTCGATCACAGATAAAACAAATCGATGCCTGCAAGGGTATACAATACAATGTACAAGGGTATTAATAAAAAGTTTTACAAAGTGGCTTCAGCTTGGACCTCGAATGGATCTCGAAGATTTATCATTGGCCTTTCTTTTCAGAGATGGCGTCAATGCGCGACTCGTCTGAGCGTCGTCCAGGGAGTCTACGCACGCCCTACGCGCTTCCTCGGTTCGTCGTCGACGTGTCATTCGCGTTTTTGGGCCGTTGCTAGACCATCAAAACCTCATCACCAAGTCTGACAAGAATCTCATGAAACTCGTCTCGGAACTTTTCGGTGACAGGAATGACGTGGCCATCACCGCAGCCACTGCAGTCGCCGTGAGTCTGGGGCTGTCGTTGCTACACAGCACCAAGAGGAGTAAAACCACTGAAGCTCGTAGAGTGCCTCCAATGCCCAAGTCAACGCTGCCCATTCTCAAGAGCTTACTTGATATTGGTGGTGCTGTCGACACCTTCCACGACTGGCTGTATGAACAATCCGCCGAGTTCGACAATCGCCCGTGGATGTACCACATCCCCGGGCGTCCTGAGACCATCGTGCTCTCTTCTCCCGATACAATTGAGGATGTCATGTCCACTCAAGGCCACATCTTTCTACGTGGTCCCGTGGGGCAATACACAAGTTATGATATCTTCGGAAAGGGGATGATCATTGCTGACGGAGATCAGTGGTACTACCACCGTAAAACTGCGAGTCACTTGTTCTCCATGCAGATGATGAAAGAGGCCATGGAATCCTCTGTGCACGAGAAGCTTGGCGTCTTCTTGGACGTGTTGGACATCTACCACAAGCGCGGTAAGCCATTTAGTCTCAAGGAGGAGCTTCTCCACTTCACCATGGACGTGATTTCCAAGATCGGCTTTGGAGTGGAACTCAACACGCTCAAGGACAGTCCAGACCGCGAGACAGACCACGAATTCCTCGAAGCGTTCGACAGTGCCGGGGTGGGTTTTGCTGTTCGTGTTCAGACGCCTATCTGGGTCTGGCGGATCAAGAGATTCCTAAATATTGGTTGGGAGAGGGTCTTCCAAAACGACATTGCGACTATGCACAACTTTATCAACAAAGTCATCATGGAGTCGATGCAGAAGAAGGCAGAGCTGGCTGCTAAAGGTGAAAAGATGGTCGCCAAAGATTTAATCTCGCTCTTTATGGAGAGCAACTTGAGAGAGTCCGAAGACATGCACATCGCGGACGACGACGTGACTATCATGCGCGACATGGTCATGACCTTTATTTTCGCTGGGAAGGACACGACGGCGCACAGCATGAGCTGGTTCATCGTCATGATGAACAGATATCCGGACGTGCTACGTAAGATCCGAGAAGAGATGAAGGAGAAGCTGCCCGGCCTCTTTAACGGCGAGATTAGAGTGCCGACCCAGGAACAAGTCCGCAATCTCGTGTACCTGGAAGCTGTGATCAAGGAGAACATGCGTCTCACGCCTTCGACGGGATTCATCGCGCGCGAATGCATGCAGGACACGACGCTCGTGGACGGTACGTTCATCAAGAAAGGTCAGACGACCATGGTCTCGTCCTACTGCAACGGTCGCAACACGAAATCCTGGGGCGACGATGCCCTCGAGTTCAAGCCTGAGCGCATGATCAACCCGGAAACAGGCAAACTGCGTGTGTTTTCACCCTTCAAATTCAGCGCTTTTGGCTCCGGCCAGCACGTGTGCATTGGCCAGAGATTCGCTATGATGCAACTCAAGATGACGTTGGCCACGCTCTTCAGCAAATTCGACATCAAGACGGTGGAGGACCCATTGGACATCACGTACGAATTCTCCATCGGTATCCCGGTCAAGGGCCCACTGGAAGTGGTAGTCACGCCTCTGGCTTCGACACCTGCGACTTCTGCGTAGATTCTAGAAGTACATGTTTTGAATACCACCCAAGTACATGTGTATTCCCTGAAGGCTGTTTGATTAGATACTCACAGTGTGTAAAGTCGAAGACCAGCACTTCTGTAGTGGCGACTCGCCACTGGCGAGTGAGCCAACGTCAACAAAGACGAAAGCCCTGATATTGAACTTGTTGCGGCTTAAAGTCAGCTAACTGAAATACACGTACAGAACTTAAATCGTCCGAATTTTTTAGTACCGGTGTAGAATTCTTGTCAAGATAAAACAAACCTTAAGTATTTCTGTTGATATATCGGGAACACGAACGATCACAGCTCAGAAACCGTGTTGCACGTACAAATAACAATGGTTCGCGTCTGCCTGTTGACACCGACGCAGCTTCATCGTGATAATGTGTCGATTTCACTTGCATGTAATCCTTATTAATAACAACGCTTAGTTTGATATCTAGACTATCCTGGTGACATTCCTCTTTCTTCCAATGGCTCCTTTTCCATTCTGCTGGTTGCTTCAAGGTCAACCTCTTTTCGACATGAACAAAATCTCCTAATGATCTGCAACATGAACAGAGGGAAATGGGTCGGTGGCCAATCTACGACACCCGTGGCCCTTTTCTTTATGTCTGACGTCGGCAGCATCTGGAAGGTCTCCGCTATCAACGCCTTCCCTCTCACTTTCGCTTTTTCAAGCCAGCCCGTCGGAATCCCGAGACGCTAAGTCGAACAAGCAAGCTCGCCATGAAATCCGTCACGGATCTTCTCGGTGACAAGAACGACCTCGTCGTCACTGCTGCCGCTGCAGTGGCTGTAAGTCTGGGACTGTCATTGTTGCTGCACGCCAAGAAGAACAAGTCGACAGAGGCCCAAAAACTGCCGCCCGTGCCGAAGACCACCCTCCCCCTTCTCAAAAACATTTTGGACGCCGGTGGCAATGCCGAACGCTTCCACGATTGGCTCAACGAACAATCCACCGAGTTTGGCAATCGCCCGTGGATGTTCACAATCCCCGGCCGTCCAGACAACATCGTGCTGTCCTCACCGGAAATGTTCGAGGACGTGCTCAAGACCCAAGACGACGTGTTCCTTCGAGGTCCCTCGGGTCAATACATCAGCTACGACTTGTTCGGCAACGGTATGGTCATCACCGACGGAGATTTGTGGTTCTACCACCGTAAGACGGCGAGTCACCTCTTCTCCATGCAGATGATGAAGGACGTGATGGAAGCTACAGTCCGTGAGAAATTGGCGGTCTTCTTGGATGTTTTAAACATCTACTCGAAACGTAACCAGCAGTTCAGTGTGAAACAGGAGCTGAGTCACTTCACCATGGACGTCATCGCCAAGATCGCGTTTGCTATTGAGTTGGATACGCTTAAGAACAGTCCCGATAGAGACGAAGATCATGAGTTCCTACAGGCCTTCAACAAGGCCTGTGTGGCGTTCGGTGTGCGTATCCAGTCACCGTTGTGGCTCTGGAGACTCAAACGATACCTGAACGTTGGCTGGGAGAAGGTCTTAAAGGAGAACAACGCGATTATCCAGAACTTTATCAACGATGTGATCGTCAAGTCGATGAACAAGAAAGCGGAACTTGCAGCTAAAGGCGAGACAATGGTAGCGAGAGATTTGATTACTCTCTTCATGGAGAGCAACCTCCGACAGACGGAGGATATCCAGATTGAGGATGACGACGCTACTATTATGCGCGATATGGTCATGTCCTTTGCGTTCGCTGGCAAGGACTCGACAGCTGACAACATGTGCTGGTTTATCGTCAACATGAACCGCTACCCGAACGAGTTGCGTAAGGTTCGCGACGAGATGAAGCAGAAGCTGCCCGGTCTGCTGACTGGTGAGATTGTGGTCCCGACGCAGGACCAGGTCCGAGATCTGGTGTACTTGGAGGCCGTGATTAAGGAGAACATGCGGCTCCATCCGTCCACAGCTTTCATCATGCGGGAGGCCATGCAGGATACAACTCTCGTTGACGGAACGTTCGTTCGGAAGGGCCAGACCTTGATGGTTTCCTCGTACTGTAATGCTCGCAACAAACGCACTTGGGGCGAAGACTGTCTGAAATTCAAGCCCGAGCGTATGATTGACCCCGAGACGGGGAAGCTACGTGTGTTGTCTCCGTACGTGTTCAGCGGCTTCGGGTCGGGTCAGCATGTGTGTATCGGTCAGAAGTTCGCTATGATGGAGATCAAGATGACGCTGGCTACGCTATTGAGCAAGTTTGACATCGAGACGGTGGAGGATCCGTGGAAACTCACGTACGAATTCTCCCTCACCACTCCCGTAAAGGGAGGCCTCAACGTCAAAGTTACGCCCTTGACACCTGCTGCCTCAGCCTAAAATCTGCACTTTAGAAAAATTAGTGAGGAGAATTATGAATTGAAATTAAAAAAATGAATGGACTGCGTTTCAAATATTTCCGAGAAAAAAGCTCTACTTGGAATGTAGGGACCCCAAGCTTTCTCCTCAGTTCGCTTCAATCGAGGAGGGCGATTCATATTCACATTGTTAATTTACAGTTTAACTAATAAGGTACACTTCACTTAACTAGCTCGTCATCCAACTCGCAACACCTGGATGACTTACAAACCGCGAAACACCTGAGTGAGTTCACATGTACTCACGGATGGCAGCAGCGATCTTGTGTAGCCCCCGAGAGGAGGCGTATTGGGCCAACATGAGATCATCGGTGACCTTGATCATAGGCTTGGCGTGGTGGAAGAGCAGGATTCTCGCCACCTTATCGTCGTCGTCGTCGTTCGAGATGACGGAGATCAGTAGCGGCGTCTGCTGTCGGTCGTTCAAGGCGTTCACGGACGCACCAGCCTTCAGCAGCATGTAGCAGACTGTAAACCCATCGGACACGTTCGGACTAGCAGCATAGTGTAGCGGGTGGTTGCCTCGGCTGTCGGCCTGGTACAACAGTTCGGGCTCTGTTTCGAGGATTTTCTTGATCGCCTGCTTGTCTCCTTTCCGGACGGCATTGTGAAGGGCTGACCGGCCATATTTACTGCTCTTTCTGGGAGACGCAGGCTGCTTGTCCTTGGTTGTGGGGGACGTAGCACGAGTCTCAGTCTCGGGTTTGTGGGTACTGTGGAGACTGTGCAGACACTTGGCAGACTGTGAACGACCGCGTTTCGACGCAGTCGTAGGCATGTGTCGGTCTGTAGCCTCCGCTTCAGGAGGCGCAGAGTGCGATCGCTCGATCCTCGCATCTTTCGAACGACTAGAGGCGACACTTTCCTCAACTTCTGCAATAGGCGACTCCTTTTCCTTGCTCATGGTGGCGGTCTCGGAGATGGTCACGAGGTGCGGCGAATACTTCATTCGACGAGGCATCGTGGCGTTGGTTTAAGAGTCTGTACAAGGTTGTACAGGGTAAAATACTACCGAGGGCAAATCCAAGTCGCTTCTTGAGCTGCAAGCGTCGAAAGCGCAAATGCTTGAGCCTTTGACCAGCTCACGATCCGCCTCAAGTCGCATGGGTAAACTACAGAAACAGCAAGCCCACCCATGTGTCGCTGCGAATCCATCCGATACCGTTCCAAACGCATCGGGCGCCACGAAATAGTGCTCGACTTCCAGCCCGTCAGTACATCTGTGGCGACGCATATGCCACATTGATGTCGGCTGTTTCCTGGACTCGCAGCGTCCTGCCGTCTGGCTGGCCCGTCGGCGACGCACCGAAGCTACCGGTACGAACGTTGTCGAGTTGTCCGAAAGATCAATGGCCATGAGAAGCTCCGTTAGTTTGGCTTCCTTTATTTGTACAGTCTTCAACGCTAATTGACAATCTACTTTAGTTTACTACCTGTAAAGTCATGGATAAATGCCGCGCACCGAGCTGTAAAATGGCCAGCAACATAGTGCATTAGTTCGTATTAGAATGCTTGACTAATGGATTTGATGGTTTTTCTTATGTCTGCGGCTGACACGCAAACCCGCTGAAACTTCCTCGGCTGGCAACCATGTCATTACTCTTGATGAATTTGGATGTGCAGCCCGGCACAACTGTTGTAGACCACCATGATCGATCCGGCTACAACTTAGGCTCGTCGTCACGCGTCGACGAGCGCGACGCCGCGATGTTGGAAATTTAGAGCGCGACGTCCAGCCGCTCATGAGCCACAACGTCTGGGGCATAGTCACTGATGCGGTGCCTTTCTTCTAAAAGGTATCCACGTGCACGGTGCTCGTAGTAAAGCGTGGCTTTATGCCGCAACCAAGGCAGTGATCACCCACTGGTCTTGCGCCGCGTTCATCGTCACAAGGTGATCGTAAGCAATGAAAGTTGGTTAATATTTCTGTTGTGCACATGTTGAAGTGCCAGCGCTTTAGTCAAAAGTGCTTCAACTTTGTCAACGCCCGCCTCAACATAAACTTCTACTTTTTTTCATTGTGTTGTTCGTCTACGACCTGCGTGTATGAAGTGTTTATCGTCTACGAGGTGGGTGGGGTCGAGAGCGTCCAAGAGCCTTCAGCAAAAGACACACCGCGGTCGCTTTATCATGAGATCACTTTTCCTTTGTTTCCGCTTCAACTATCCCTTTGATCCGATGCGTGTGCAAGTGGAGATGCAGCTGCACTTGGTTGATCAATTCAGTGAACGTCGAGCACTCAAAAGTGAGGAAGAAGAAGGTCAGCACATACTCCGTCACGCTAATCATACCGAAGAGCAGTACAGCGACCCAGGACCATCTGGACACCACAATCGACATGATATGCGTCACAAACACGGCCAAAGCTGCCACGAAGAAGGCCGCAGCACGTCGTAGTCGAATGTGGCGTGCTGTGATCGCCTGGTTACGACCGACAAAGAGCATTTCTTGCACCTCCTCGAGGCACGCGGCGTCGGCTGCCGCTTTATCCACGTCGCTCGGCTCCACCCCGTTCTCGTCGCAATGTGCGCACGTCGTTGTAGGACAAGAGCGTTCCGATGCATCAACGTCGTCCGAAGACACAACAGCGTACCCTTCTTGCTGCTCACACACATGTGGTCGCGGTTCACTGAAGGTAAACTCGGCTTTTACGCCAAAATGATCCGATAAGGGCGTTTTCTCGCCCCTCGCGTCGGTGAAAAAGCCTTTAAAGATGCTGCTGCCTTCCAAATGCCAGTCCGAATCGCCTTTAGCTCGTTTCTCGATCTTGTACATGACGTAATCCATACGCATAGGGTGCTCCCCATGCGAGTATTTGTTATCCGGCGACGCGAACGTCAGTCCGTCCTCGTCGTTCGTGTCTGTGTACGCGTCTCGTAGACTCAGTAATTGCTTGGGCACTTTAAGCTCCAGACAATCCGGAGACGAGTTGAAGTCTCCGCAGACGATCGTTAGGTCGTTTCTATTGGTGGCCGAGATGAATTGGGTCAGCTCGTAACTTTGACCTGTTCGGTGGCCTCGATAGAAATCGCCTGGCCCTGGTTTGCCTCCGACGTTGTAGTTGGCCAGTAGATGCGTCACGTACACGTCGATCTGACCGGCGGGTGTTTCTACCCGCAGTAAGCCTACGCCTTTGTTGGCCACGAAGTCGGACTCGTGAAGGGCGTACGGACGTCCGCTGAGACTAAACGAGTGATACAGCGCGTTGGAGATGGGCAATTTGGACAATACCAGTAGACCTGTACCGAACGAGTCGGCTCCCATTGGGAACGGGAAGCCTACGGCCGGATTGAAGTAGTGGTAGTAGTGAAAACCGCTCTTTTGGGCTTTAGAAATGACGATGTTCCGCTCGCGCATGTGCCAGATTTCTTGCAGTACAACGAGCTCAAAGTCACTGGAGATGGCACTCGCGATCTTGGCAGCACGCTCCGTGCATTTTGGGGCAACTGGGAGACCTGAAGCAAGAGCACGCAGTCAGTTTCTGACGTTTCTATCATTATTTTCTGAATGACAACAAGTATCAATGTACCCCAGGCGTTTAGACTCAGCACGCGGAGCTTGACGTGCTGCTTGTCCTGGTCAGTCCACAACGGCCACTCGGCCCGAGAGGGTGCGGGTGTAGCCACAGGATCCAGGTTGAACACCTCCAGCAAAACGCGTTGACGAATCCGCTCCACGACGTGCTCTTCCATTTTTACCCAGATTTAGAAACGACTGACGTGGCAATTGCGACTTTGAAAAGTGAGACCTGAGAATCTTTATCGAGAGTTCGGATTGGCGAATCACCGCGGCCTATCGTCGGAAGAATGGCGACCGCAATCTTGTGTGTGGTTGTGGCTATCCATTCGTGTCGTTTGTTTTAATATACCACGATTAACACGACAGAGTGCTAGATTTTCGTCGTTGGTCTTCGGTAACTTGCTTTAAAGCTATCGCTATGCGGCATCCAACAGCAAACTACTGGTAGAGATCGACGTACTCATTTTATTTACATTCGAACGACGCAGTAGTGGGTTTTGCGCAACGCGGCATGTGGATACTTTCGTGACTTGTATGACTTACAAGTCACGAGTCGATGAATTGTGCGAAGGAACACCTCTTCCATACCATTGTAAGAGAACAATGCAATTCGCTATTCGCTGCATCGAGGACTGTAAATACATGTGATGGACTTTGCCGGCTTAACAAATCGAAGTTCAAGTTGCCATGCTCAGGAATATGCTACCAAGTGCGCTACAGAAACGTTTTTGTAGGTATTAAACGACTTAGTTCACGAGCGCTTAGCTGGCGACAAAACCCAGTGTTGCAGTCAAAGTGACCTATGGCTCGACTAGATACTTACGTTCACCGCCCGATATATATCAGTGATAACTAAGCAGACTTTTGCTGCTAGGTGGCCCAAAAAATGCAAGCATCACCGCATGCTGAAGCTCGATTCACTTCCCAATCACTACAGATCGGTAGCTCTAGCACATGTAGAATAGGAAGCAAGTCGATGTAAGTCGACACAGTCACTGGGCGGCAAAAAACACCTTTAGGCACTTCTTGTATTCTTTAAGTCAATGGCCGCTTTTCCTTCTATCTGTACCGGACTCCATGCATTTCGTGCAACCAATGCATTTCATGCAACCGCGAACGTAAAAAGTCAACACAACCAAAATCTATATGGTGACACCCCTTCTACAACGAACTTCCATCCTTGACAAAAAAAGTAAAATAGCACCAAACTTTTAGTTTTTAGTGAGTGAGCTATGCTATGCTAGTTCCGGCGCTGGTGGCTCGGCAACACGAAACGTGCCATCTACCGGACTACATACATTTCGTGCAACCACTGTAAAAACTACATCATTAGAAATTGTAAATTATCAAAATCGGTAAAAACTGCAAACATAGTTCTCCGAACCAGTGGCTGGAAATCACTACAAGTTTTGACAGCCGATGCGCGAAGCGCTCCATACAAACGCGCACCGCCTCAAGGCGGTTGATGCGGCCTGTGAAAGCGGTGTCTCGACGAGCTTGGCATCCGAAAATAAGTGCCACCGCTCTACGCTGTATCAATGGACGAAAAGAAGACAAGACATCGAAGCCGCTGCAGCCGGAAGCACTACTATTCTTCAAGGGCGTCGTGGGCCTAAGTTGCTTTTCCAGAACTAGAAAAAAAGTAAGATCATTTGAGTTTTATATATTATATTTTCTAACAAAATGCTGCTTTCTAGGCTTTTGGACTGGGTTCGTGACATGCGCAAGAACAAGGTGCGCGCTGTCACGTCGAGGTGCCTGCTCATGATGAGCGCACATTTAGAGCCACGCTTTCTTCTCGGTCGCTCGGAACAAGCTGCTGTTGAGTACCTCCGCCGTTTCCGCAGCAGAAATGGCTTGAGCGTGCGTCGTATCACGCACAAGGGTCGACGCAAGCGGAGCGAAGTGGAGGTATGTGCTAAAAAAAAATTTTTTTAATTTGTTGCTAAAATACTAATTTTACTATTGAGGTCGTTGCTGACGAGTTCGGCCTCGCAATGCGCCATAAGATGGAAATGTTTAGCGCAGGAACTGAGAAGTATAATCACTTCTACAATATGGATCAAACCCCCATATATATCGACATGAATCCTAAAACAACTATCACGTTTCGTGGGGACCGTGACGTTGATGTTGTGCAAGGTAATCATTTTGTTATTGTCCTATAATATAAGACTTATATACTTTTGATTCTAACTGTGATCTAGGAATGTCTGAAAACTCTTTTCGTGCCAGTGTTTTCTGTGCACATCGGCCACTGGAAAGAAGCTGCCAGCGTTTATTGTGTTCTCTGGTGCCACAGGAGGCCCTGTTCACTGCGAGCTGCAAGCTCATCCGCTGCATAAAGCAGATGAGGTTGTGCTTACTGTGCAAAAGAATGCGTATTGTGATGAGCGCATTATGATCGAATGGTATGTTTTTATTTTTCTTTACATTTTGTTGTTTTTACTAATATTATGAGCAGGTGTGGACTCCGTCGGTCACCTTTTGCCGCATGCTCTTGCTAGACAGCCTAAAAGTTTACAAAATGGGCTCCGTTCGCGCCAAGCTTGAGGAAGCTATGACGGGTGTAGACTTTGTGCCAGCAGGAGCGACAGGACTTGCCCAGCCGATGGATGTGTCTGTCATGCGTGTTTTTAAACACTGGTGTAGAGAGCTATACGTTTAACACCACATTACAAACGACTTTAGCTTGAACGCTAAGGAAAGACGCAAGTTAATCACGTCTATAGTGCACGAGGCGTGGAGGGCAGTTCCCCCCGAAACAATACAGCGGGGTTTTGTCAAGGCGGGCCTCGTTCCGATAGGACCACGAATTGTACTTAAGTCTCACACCAACTTCAAGCAAGACCATGCACCGTCTACAGCAGCCTAAGCAGCTCGTCAAAGCTACTTAAGAATCTCAAGTTGAGATTGGTGAACTCGCCAATGCTTCATTGAGCTTAAATTTTAAGGAGCGTTAACTCTTTATCGAGCAACTGCAGCTTCAACGCGCGTGGCAGAGTCCGGCACAGACCGAAGGAATAGTTCTTCGAGATCAGCACCGGTCGGAATCTCAGTCGTTTTGCATCAAGGCGGAGCTCCCGGATCATTGTCGCAGGACACTGACTGTGAACCAAAACTAACAGTAAATCGAAATTCCGGGAGCTTACCGAGATTGAACAGCGTATCAAATTGAGAGTGAAGGCAAAAGAAATGACAGCGGAGCTAGACACCACTTCGGAGCGTCAATCAGCTTCGTCAGTAGTGTATCGGCCACCCTGACGAACTTCTTAAACCTGAGACCACTCTGTTCTGTAACTCTTGTGAGGATGACGGTTGATTTCAAACTTTTAAGCATGTGGGTGAAGTATCCCCGTCTCACACAAAAATTCCAGCTTACACACTCGTTCTGGTTGCTTTTGAAATGCTCATGGATCAATAATACACTATATTTTCTACATACCGACGATAGGTTTTGCTACAGTCTGAATCTCGCTGTAATTCTAATCATGCCGCATTTTGCAACATAAAATAGATCCAGGTTCTCCTTATGTGAAATATTCCAATCCTTTTCAACACTTTGCGCCTCGTCTGGGCGAGGGGAGTCTCTTTTTGACCGCGGACATGAACCTTCGAAACCACGTCCATTCACAGAAGCGACCAGCCCATCGGAATTGCAGATACCAAGTACAGTAGCGCGATGAAAGCCGTCTCGGAGCTTTTCGGCATCAAGGACGACGTGGCCGCCACTGCAGCAGTCGCAGTGGCTGTAAGTTTGGGACTGACGTTGCTACTGCGCAACACGAAGAAGAGCAAGGACACCGAGGCTCGCAAGCTGCCGCCCATGCCGAAGACTACTCTGCCCATTCTCAAGAACATCCTGGACGTCGGTGGCCATGCCGAGCGCTTCCACGACTGGCTGAACGAACAATCCCTCGAGTTCGACAACCGCCCGTGGATGTTCTCGATCCCTGGCCGTCCAGCCACAATTGTGCTCTCCTCGCCTGAAATGTTCGAGGACGTGCTGGTGACTCAAGACGACGTCTTCCTTCGTGGTCCTGTGGGTCAGTACATCAGCTACGACATCTTCGGCAACGGGATGGTCATCTCCGACGGTGATCCGTGGTACTACCACCGTAAGACAGCCAGCCACTTGTTCTCCATGCAGATGATGCGAGACGTCATGGAAACCACTGTATGTGAGAAATTGAGCGTCTTCTTGGACGTCTTGAGTCTCTACTCGAAGCGTGGTCAGGTGTTCAGTATCAAGGAAGAGCTGAGTCACTTCACCATGGATGCGATCGCCAAAATTGGCTTTGGAATCGAGATGGATACACTCAAGAACAGTCCAAACCGCGACGAGGACCACGAATTCCTCCAGGCTTTCAACGAAGGATCCGTGGCTTTCGGTGTGCGTATCCAGTCGCCACTTTGGCTCTGGGAGCTCAAAAAGTACTTGAACATTGGATGGGAGAAGATCCTCATGGACAACACCAAGATCATGCACGATTTCATCAGTAAAGTGATTGTGGATTCGATGAACAAGAAGGCGGAGCTGGCAGCTAAGGGCGAGACGATGGAAGCCAGAGATCTCATCACTCTGTTCATGGAGAAGAGACTAAAGCAAACCGAAGACATGCACATCAAGGATGATGACGCGACTATTATGCGAGACATGGTCATGACCTTCGTCTTTGCTGGGAAGGACTCGACGGCTCACAGTATGGGCTGGTTCATCGTCAACATGAATCGGTACCCAGAAGTGTTGCGCCAGATCCGCGAAGAAATGAAGGAAAAGCTGCCAGGTTTGCTCACTGGGGAGATCAAGGTCCCTACACAGGAACAGATACGCGATCTGGTGTACTTGGAGGCTGTTGTGAAGGAAAACATCCGTCTCCACCCATCCACGGGTTTTATCGTGCGTGAAGCCATGCAGGATACGACTCTGGTCGATGGGACTTTTGTCCAGAAGGGACAAACTGTCATGGCCTCGTCCTACTGCAACGCTCGCAACAAGAAGACGTGGGGTGAAGACACACTGGAGTTAAAGCCGGAGCGGATGATCGACTCGGAGACGGGTAAGCTGCGCGTGTACTCGCCGTACGTGTTCAGCGGCTTTGGCTCGGGTCAGCACGTGTGTATTGGTCAGAAGTTTGCGATGATGGAGATCAAGTTGGCCATGGCTACACTTTTCAGTAAGTTCGACATCAAGACAGTCGAGGATCCGTGGAAGCTCACGTATGAATTCTCGCTCACTATCCCGGTCAAGGGGCCGCTGGAGGTTGAAGTCACACCTCTGACCCCGTTGATGCCCGCGGCTTCGTCATAAGCACTCTGGACGAGGGTTGTTCTTTGAGACGAGAGTAGTTTCGTGAAACTAAGTGAAGTAATATGTTTCGTGACGAGGAGTTTATTCATAGTGCGAGTTTGATAAGTAAAGCCCATGGAGTTCTAGGCAGACCACTGGCAGGATTGAAATTTTCGTTGCAGGACGCAACGCCAAATACGCATCGCTGATTGGCCAAAAGGTCCACGAAATCCTAAGCGTACCCAACCCTGACACTAAAAAAAAGTAATTGTAGCTTGAACAATGCAATAACATACCATAGTATTATCAGTATCACAGTTATCTCCCTAGATGCATCCTTCGACGGTAGTAACGTCCCAGTACTTATGATTGACCTTGAGATCTTGAGCGTCACTGGCGAGCCGAGCAAAATAAATCATTTACTAGCATGTAAGCACAAAAAACATAAATAAGTTTCGGGTTTGCGAGCTAAATTATTTACGGAAAAAATATATTCCCACAAAATATATTTTTCCCAGCTCCTTAACTTCTCCCGGGAGGAGGGTCCTGCTAAGTAGCAGCACCAAAGGTTCCCCAGGCACCACTAGAAGCACTGTTGTGGGATTGCATCAAAGACGGGTTGACGTTCTTCGGAGGTGTCGTAGAGGCTGAGACTGTGCCCAGCTCTCCCACCGTTAGCGCACCTTTCGACAGGGCAAAAGCAGGATTCTTTGACTCCGCAAACCCCGAACCACTCGACCGAATAATGCTTTCAGAGGCAGACCCACCCGATTTCACGGCCACAAGACGCCCGACAACATCCGCCTTCTTCGCCATAAGGTGCGCAGTCTGATGCTGCAATGCAATCAGCTCTTGCGTCAAAATACTAGTGACCTTCAGCGGGTCTTCACGGCTTTCACCTTGTGCCACCTCCGACGCCACACTCCTCATCTGTGCATCAATCTGCATACTTTGGATCTCCTGCTTGGCTGCATGTACGTGCTTCTGCAGCAAGCTTCTCAAATCATCCAACGCATCCAGTGACCTCGCCGAACTAGGAACAGGGAATCCCAACCCGTCCACCTGATCCGCAATACGTTCCACACAAGCGTGCAAACTCTGCAGCGCTCTTGCTTCAGACTGATCCACTCTTGATAGGACTTCCGCTTCGTGTTGTTTCGTACGTATCTCCAAATGCGCCAACTCACTCAGTGACTTGGTGTCCACTAATGGCGCTCCGGAGGTCATCGGCGACGTCGCAATTTGAGAAATAGTCGGCCCCATAGCCCCCATTAACCTTGTTGAAGGGGGAGGCACGAGAGGGGTGCCACTGGACGCCTCGGATGTGTACGAGTGCTCCTCGGGGCTCGGGAAGTCGAAGCTCTGCTGCCTCTCAGGCGTCAGGTCCAGTGAAGGGAACAAGTAGCCAGGAAATTTGGGCGGGATCTTGACCAAGTTACGCTTAGTCATGCACACAATGAAGTGCATCCCCATGACGAACTCCGTCTCGTTCATGTGAGCGTTGTCCCGGAGCAAATGCAGCTCCTTAAGACGAGTGTAAAGCTCTTGCACCTGCTCCTCACTGAGACTGGACTTGCGAAAGAACTCGAGCGCAGCGTCACGGGAGATTAAGGAGTTATCACCCCCGCACAGTTTGGCGAAGAAGGCACGGTACCGATTGCCCTCGAGTTCGATCATAGTGTAGAGCTGTGTGTCCAGCTGGACGTCGTCTGACGGAGGGGCCGGGAAGGACGCAAACGACATAATTCAGGTATGTAGAGATGGAATTTAGTGTTGGGGAGAAGATGCAGATGCGTCTGAGCGGGTTCGGGCTCTAGCGGACGCAGGAAGAGCGGCGCAAGGAACGTCGATGCGCGTCGGACGCGATCGTAATTCGGGCTTTTTGCTAACTGCCGTCAGGTTAGGTACGAATAAATGTGGACAACATCCAGAAACTTCAATTTGATTTAGAAATGCGAAGTTTACCCATTCTTCCAATTTTTAAATTCAAAATTTGAAACGGTCCCACAATAAAAATGACGACCAAAAAGCGACGAGCGCAGCAGCAGTGGCAAGAGCCAAGGAACGAAGGAGTGAAGGTCATTGGATTCCAGGTTCGATCAGCCACAAGCGCAGCGGGCACAGGATCTACCAATCATCTGCTGCAGTACGCGACCCACACGTGCTGGAGGAGTTATGTGAACCCCAAGGAAACACTCGTGCTGGCGCTGTACGTTGACGATAGGTGCTTGAAATCCAGCGGAGGCTAAAAGTTATGCTAAAAGTTCGTCGGTAACGACACTTTGGTTAACAGAGAGACGAAGACGCTCCTGTCGGAAATACGAATACTGAATAAGGTATTACAGCTGGGGGTGTTGGACTGATTTTATGATCGGAGTACTGAGCACTTTGCGATAGAATGCGTGCGCTGTCAGCGTGAGTGTGGCGGTGGAAAACCGACCGAGATCTTATATTCATGGTATGTCGATATGTGATAGACCAGCTTTAGCGATCCTACTGACGGTGGGTTGGGCTGTAGTGAAGCGACTGGAAAACTTAGCGCACAACCGGGAGGTGAGCGTGAAACTGCCGTTCTTTCCCTGCAACTTTGTTCGGTACGTTTAAGCTGCTGCTTGTGCGTATGTCGGTGACGATATGCTGACTAAACACTGCGCTCTCAGACTACAATTTGAACGTGAGGCGCTGCCTTCAATCGCCGTTTACGCGTAAGAGGTATTTCTCCGTATTGTTGCGACATTGCTGACGTTTTTTATGCTATTGCGATGGTCAGAATTCGACCCCTCGGCGTTCCCAGCGATGACATTGAGGCCGAGTGCGGGCTCTCTCTCTGCACAGTGCTGAGCCATACAACCGAGGTCAGTGCTTTTACAAGTACAAGTATTTGCCTCACTTTCTCAAACTTTGAACTTGTCTCGACTACTGTAGAACCTATTGTTTGGGTCCTCTTTACGCGCCAGTCAGCCTTTCATGGACTGCCTGAATGACAATCTCTCCGGGTTTGTGAATTGACGATGTTATTTGTAATTGCGCTGCTTGGAATTGCTGCTAACTTTTAACTCTTCCAGCTCCCCCGAGTGGATGGCAAAGCAACGCGGATATCTGCTTGACGAAAGAATTGCGCGCTTAGAAGCTGCATTGTTCAGCTGAAATTCTACTTATCAGAAAAGTGTAACCTATTTGGGATAGAACGCTTTATACTGGGAGATAGCTAGCGTACATGTAACAACGAGGATTAATTTGTCGTCAACTGGGTCAACGTTCATGCAACATGAAAATGTGGTCACATCATAATGATTTGTAAAATCAAAACTCCAATCAGGTGATTTGAATGGAATTTTCATGCTAAACTCAACAAAGAACTTCCTAAATACAAAACGCCAGGCTTACAAAGTGTTAGATAAAAAAAACAAAAATGCAATCATGAATTCATTGTGCATTTTGCAGTAGGGAACGATTGACAAAATTCATGTATAGATTCTGTCCATGTTGGCATCAACAGTCGCAAAGCATTAAATTTTGTTTCTATTTGTGTTTTTGTGCGGTTCATGTATCGAAAAGTCAGCCCCGTGACCGTGATCATAGGTGAAATGTACATCATTCGTGAATTCGTCTCAGCTGATTTCACCAGCACCTTACAAATGTTTGGTGGTTGGTGGTATGACTTTGCTTGGACATTCTCCATTCACTCGAAAGCTTGTACTCAGATTAATCATACAATGGGAACATCGATTTATAAGCCTCCGTGTGTGAATAAGTGCAACAACAGCATCGGACTTCCAAAACATCTTAGAATATATAATCAGCACGACCCCCCCCCTTCCTAGTTCTATCTCTCGGACTCTTCGATGCACCAACGAGTCTAGTTCGTTTTGAGCTAATGCTCTGAATTTTCTTCGAAAAAGTACTACTACGTGTACATTATAGTAGTATAAAAAATTAAACAAGGGTTTCAAAGTATGATTTTGTAAGCTGTTACCAAACAAAGCTTTTACCAACAATTTTTCAGAATTAGGACTACCGACTACTGTAATGTGTTGTTTATCAGCCCTTTTAAGCAGGTCAACCGTTTCGGCACGGCGAGCAACGACGTTTTTCCAAAATGTGCGATCTACTACAGCGAAACTAGACTGCCGACACGCGCGTCCAAAAGATAGGAATTGACGGTGAAAACCCGTCCTTCATCCATGCTGGCACGCCACTGTTGTGTGTTCCGCCGACACCTCAGCACATGCCAACAAGAACCCCAGCGCGCCTCGCGCCGAACTTGCCGTCGATGGATGCCTTCCACCACTCACGTCGTCACATAGCAGTTGCGGTAAACCCAAGCGTGTGCTCGCTCGATCAAACAAACGAGTCTAGCGTCGTCGCCACACACGGCGGAAGAAACGCCGCACAAATTCCGGCATCGCACGTCTCCGGCACCATTAAAGGGAAGAATCAGACGGGCCGGCTCGGTACTGATCTTTCGCTACACCACCTGTTAAAGTCCTGGTGAAGACAACTACCGATAGCCCAACAGCATCCGCACCACGTTCACGTGCCACTGAGAAGCCGCTGTCGCTACTACGGGAATCGTCCCCCGCGATATTTCAAGCAGTGTCAGCAAACGCGGAACGACGTCGACATATCTGGGAATCGATACGACGGGCCTCGCTTCTGCGCGCCAACCGTCACGCTGGGGCGCCCATCTAGCCCTGAAGCGGACGGAGGCATCGAATCACCCAATGGCGCCTATTGCCTAAACAAGCCGCTCCAAGTAGCGATGTCTGGCTTCATAGGCCATCCACGCCCGCCGCTCAGTGCATTTGTAGACATGAATCGTGGACAACCAGGCTAGATCTAACGCCTCGACAAAGTTCTCTTACCGGAAGCACGGACACGCCTTTATCGGGGTTACCCCCTCTTAGACGAGCTCATCAGTATAGCGTACGCATCAAGTTTCCCGGTACGTTACCCAATCCGACTCTCTTCCCGCGCAACAATCCTTCAACGACCAAGCGCATCAACGTCTTCCGGAAAGCACCAGGAAATAATTTGATTTACTCATGTGCTTTGTTGTCGACGCGAATATCATTGATAACTGACCCGACTTATTCTCAAGTCGGAAAGGGAGGTAGAGATTTTCAACTCCCTGGAAAAGTAATCCGTGACTTATCCTTTTCGATAGACAGCCCAGTCAATGATCACACCATTCTGGTGTGCCGAAAGCGTCGTTCAAACACTGCTCCAGCATCGCTCGAGATAATTCTTTGATACAAACGCGCAGACCCCGCATTATAGATAAAGGTAATGACCGGCGATGGAGCATTCACGGATCGCAATGCCTGCACCCACAGCGAGTGCGTCCACATGTTCATCGGCCATATTTTCGAGGACATCGCCATCGTGACCGACTTAACGGCCGCATTCGGCTGGCTGTCTGGGCCTGCCGGCAGTTACAGCGTAGTAGGCGGAGTCGTCGCCTTCGCGCATGATAACATCTTCGACGCAGCCCACCCCCACGGCACCTACAACTATCACTGAGTGAACGACCGCGTGAGCGTTGCTTTTTCTTGCTAGAACGTCCCAGCCGCAGTAAACGAAGCGAAAATTACCACATGGAGTACCACCAAGAATGTTCTGGGCCTCGGCTTCGACACTAGAAGCCGTCACCACCGCGCTGCTACCTACAAAGATTGCCAAAGGTAAACGCCCCATTGACGCCGTACCAGCATATCTCTCGAGCGTTTCACTCACTTCAAGACTCGCTGCGTCACGTGGCAGCATGCGTCCGTCCTGCACAGACATTTATGCAGCGTTTGCGCGTACAGGAGGCACAGCTGTCTTGCTAATCACGTGTCTGTGTCTCGAAGATAATGCGAGAGGACCCCGTGTAGTAGCGCTACATTTTACGCGATCCAGCTCTGAGCTGTTTGTTTTTGGGTCTTGAGCACTTACACGCAGTACCCGGCCTCGATAAAACAGTATTTACCGACGCGTCAGAGTAGGACTTTGCACGCTCGTACCGGCTCACCGGCTCTCATTTTACATTTAAACGCTTGCTGCTCGAGCTGGAATTAATCAAAGGTTTCAAAGCTGAAGAGCCCAGCCACTTCGACATCAACTCCGCGAGCTTCTTGCGTGCTCATTTGCGATCAACGCATGGGCCATCATGGCGGGATCCCACTACGCTGTCCAATCACTGCACGTCCACTTTCGCGTCGACAAAACGTTAGCCGTATTGTGGCGAAGCCCTTCTGAGTAATGAGAGATGGGATCCGACAAGGAGTCATTATCACAGATTAGTGACAGCGCCCGGTGATTAGGGTGGATCTAGATTGCTCGACGTGAATCCGAACTGCTCGAAGTGGATTAGGCGGAGGGAAAGCGGATCGGGAATAAGAGGTGACAGACGATTGATCTCGGGGATAACATTGGCTCAGAGTATGGAGAATGGCAAGAGAGCCATGGTTGGTGGCAGTACACCTGAGATCGACCAAGTGAAGGCTCGGATCCACCCTCGCCCGATTACACCTAGGATATATTAAATCCACCACGTGTGAGTGGGTTGAGTGGGGATCCTATGGAGGAAGGGCAGTAGACACCTTCTGAAGGTGGATCTGATATTAGCGACGAATGAGAAGATAAGATCTACCGCTAGAAGTCCCGGATCCGACCCCCTCAGGTCCGGATCCAAGAGATTGAGGATCCCACACCAAGTGACTTGGATCTATGGTATATGGGTGGTAAATCTAATGGATCTCGAACTTTCGTGGAGCGATGCAGACCGCAGACATTCGTAATGTGATGTTGGATGATTGGAGGGTTCAGATCCACGATGAGTGTCCACTTGCAGTAAGGTGGATTATAGTGGCTGGATCCGGGACAGTGCACCCATAACATGGTCACCCCACGATGGTTACGCCATGGATCCGGTGGATCTGATGCTGATACAGCGGACCAAGGATTGAAAGGGCAAGCAGCCGAGTCTGGTAGGGATTTAGCAGGTAAAAGACATAGAAGGTAGAAATCCAGGCAGGTATAGGCTTAACTATGAATCAGACTTCATTTTGCACAGTATCACGCAAGTTCCTGCATTCAACAATCAGAGCTACATTTGGCCGTACGAGCTAAGTGAAGGTTGGGAATTGCGAATCTAGTGTTGGTAGTGATAAATGAATTATATACTGGCCAGATTCTACCACCTCGTGAGCTTTCCTTTACACGTGCAGATTCGAAAGGCTAACCGAATTTACGACTTGGTCGGGTATACCTAAGACGCTCTCAACTCTCAAGATCTCGCTACAGGAAACGGTAAGAACGACGCAAAGGAAAGCAAAGGCAAGGGAACGCTCTCGCAAGGCAACCCTCCGGCGAGATCCCAGATCTAGGCCCTGGATCCATCAAGCTCGAATATTCGCTTGGGGTCCAGAAACAACTACGGACGCAGAGTGAAGATCTTACCACAACTGCTCCACCCTATCCTCATGTTTAGCCAAGACACTCAAACTCCACCACTTGAACTCTTCGAAAGTTACCGAGAGAGCAAGATTTCGCCCTACCATCGGGTACACAAGGTGAGGAAGGCTCATCAGATCACGGATCATCGGGGGACCCCTTCGTTAGTCGGTGTATGGGCGCTGTTGGTAAGTTGGATCCAGCAATCTCGCAGATTTTGCTATCCCGCTACACCGCAGCTTGCCAATTCGTTGCTCGTGCACGAACACGGCGGAAGACGCCGGATCTCGGCGTTGAGAGGCCACCAACTGTTCGCCAATCCCACGCACTGTTGGAGGCAGACCCCGCCACTGGTGCGCTACAGCTCAGACCTAGTTTAGTGCGACATCTCCGAGAGTGTTCCGTGGCCGACTCCTTATCCAAGCTATACGTTCGGTCTTCGACTACTGAAAGCAATGGATGATCGCCCGCAGGCGGCAGTGGCAGTTCGACGTTCCAGTGAGCGAACCGATACTCATAATCTTCAAATGTATCATTGACGGTTCCCAGCCCGGATTCAGATCGCGAGGTTCCGTGCGCACCTCAACAATCAAGCTCGCTATGCGCTCGTTCGCCACTCCTCGCTTCCGCCGGCCTCAAGTTTCCCGTGGACCATACACAGGTTCGCATGCTCCTGAAAGGTGTGGTCCGCTACGACAAACCGTGAAAGCACTCAAAATCATAAAGCGATGTGTGAGTACACGCAACCTCCACGACTCTATCGACCAAGCTCTATGAGGGGATCTGTGTCTGGCCTTCTTCTTTCTTCCCGCCGTTCAAGATTATAGCCACGCCGGGTACGTCGTTCCGCATGATTTCTCTCAGCGCAGCCGACCAGCGTGGCCACGGCGGATCCGCGCGCGACCGAGGCCGTGTGCATACGCTCGCTCGAATGGAAGACGAACGAAGGTGAAGCGCCCACCACAAGAATGCTATCACGATCTGGTCACCCAGTCCTATGCCCAGTCCTCGGTACCCTTCTTTTACGACAAGCAAGAGGACAACAACCGGAGACCATCCCCTCGGCGGTGTTTACGGGTAGTGACGGCAATTCCGGCTGCTTGGCGGCCACTCGAATGGTCCTGGCGATCCAGGGCGCCGCCGAGGCGGTAGGCGAAGACCCTTCTCGTTACAGCGTGCCCTCCCTCAAACCAGGCGGCTCAACCAACAGGTATTGAGCGGGAATGGGCGCCCTCCACATCCAATTCCACGGCCGATGGGCTTCAGACACGTTCAAGATGTTCACCCGACTCAGCCAAGAATCAATCGCTGGTGTTTCTTTACGGATATTCAACAGAACATAAATCCGACCACCACGCCGCAGCGGTCGTGCCTCTTCCACCGTACCAACCAGAGGGGTTCAGCCCAACTTGGGCTGCAGCACGGTACACCCACTCCCCTAACCGTAAGGCGACGACTCTTACTTCTGACTGTGCACTATCTGAGGTGGAAATGACCAGAAAACATAAAACCCGTCGGCGTAGGATGGAGACGGCGCAGCGCGGGAATAGCTCAGCATTTTTGCTACCGACACAAAAGCACCGGCGGACAGCAATGGGGAAGTGGTGGTAGAGCGAACCTGGTTCAGATACGCGAAAAAGAAGCATCCAAAGTGCAATAGTTGACCTTGGAAGCCGAGAATCAATCTTCAAATCGTAGTGCAGTCTAAATTTTTGATACCGTAATTTAATTCAAGTTGCGTTTAGAGCCCGTTGATCCATCTACCGCCTTCTGCTTGCTTAAAGGCAAAACATTATGGTTTTGCTAAATCCAACCAGCTCCGATATATATTATTTGTATTATAATATGAAAATTCAATCGCCCAAAACGTTTCTACTAACTACCGTTAATTACCTAATATTTAATGAGTATCATATGTCTCGGTCGTATGGGTCCGGACCCAAGTCACTATCAAATTTGTGACCTAACCAAAATATGTGTTTCCTGTTACTTCACCCGTCACATTCGAACAGACGCAGTCAAGATGGCTAAGCAATCTGACACCTCTCTTCGCTTGCCAGCAGCAGCATCTTTAGCAGAAAGTATACGCTCACCAGTGGATGACAGCGCAATTCAAGTGCAAATCGAAGCGAGTGAACGCTCAACGCTCCAGGCCACGTTGGAGTCCCGCCCTACTAATACCAAGAGGAAGTAAGGTGGCTACCAGAAAGAATTTAGTGCATGGTGCACTGCCAAGAAATGTTGCGATGGTGCCACCGTCACGAAGGGGAAACTGCACCTCTTCCTGACTGAGCAAGTTGTAGGGAGAGAATCTAAGAAGAAGAAAGGCAGCACTGTTGAAGGATCGACTGTATGTGGGTACACAAATGCTGTTGTAGATTTATACAATCAACAAGTCGCGCTGCGTATCAACTCGAACGAGCATACGCGGTCTGTCCAAGTGAAACAGTTGATTAGAAATGTGCAAGCTCAGACCACTCAAACGAAGAAGAAGAATTATCAAGATCGGGGTGTCGATTCACTTCTAGACGGCTATCATTCTGAATTGCAATTCCAACATATTTGCGATGCATTTTTGCAGCTTGATGACCTTCGTGGACGTGCAGCCTTTTTGCTATCTCACTACGGATTACTTCGGGGCAAAAATGTACGCGACTTGGAATTGGCTGATATGTTTTCGCAGCCGCTTGACAATGAAGGTTTCCGGCCCTGCATAGCTCTGGTTTTGCTAATTTAACATGGTAAAACAAACACGTACGGGAAACTTCAACACGTCGGCTTTATGCGAAACAAAAACGTACACGTGTGTCCAATCGGTGCTGTCTCATTTTATTTGTTCGAGCGCTTTCACGTTCTCTTAGAACCACTTCCCTCGTTTGAGCGGTCTAGAGACTGGTTTGACATTAAATTATAAAGTGGCAAGAATCGAGTCAAGTCAATCTCGTACGATACGCATAAGAAAAACTACGAAGCTGTTTTCAAGCTACGAGGGTTGACATTCAACAAGAAAACACACATCAAAGACAACAGGGCGTAAGGCAACTAGAAAGCGCTGATGTCGACGTCTCACAAACTCGACGCCATGGACGATGGGGAATGGATACGGTGGAAGCCGTCTACTCGGCTCCTTTGGCCCGTGAAGCCATCCGTGCTCTATCAGGTCATCCTGCAAAAGCTCGTCTTTGCTATTTGTCACGCGCGACAGTCGATCCTCCTGAAGAGCTGCTGCTAAATATTTTTCCGGGTCTACACACATTTAAGTCGAGAGTACTTTCTGGAGAATGGGAGCAGAACTTGGCTGCTCGAGGGCTCACTGAATTACTGAAGTTTTTACGTGTAGTACTGATTCAAGATGCAGCTGTACTTTTTCAGAACCTTCCTACTAGAATACAGCAACATCAATTATTTGGTGAACGTTTTCAGCAGTATCGAGCTCAATTTTTGGCTGCCATCCATTCAGCTCAGGACCCCATCGAATCGCAACTTCAAGTAGCCTTGCCTCTCTTATCTGAACAAATTAAAACCCAACACGCAGCAGTCATGGATAAAGTAGAAGCAAGGCATCTTGATGTGATGAAGCAAGTACAGCAGATGCAAGGACAGCTCACCTCATTCCTTCACGGCGACGCAGCCTTCCGTTTAATGCCGCTTCCTAATAACAGAGCAACACTGGACAGTGAGGCCTTGGTACACGAGGGTACAGTCAGCATCAATCCAGAACTTACTCATCAGCAAGTGTCACCGTCGAGCTGTAACCTTGTTCAATATACATGAGTCGTGGTGTATCAACTGTACGCGAGTTATGGACTGGATGGCACGACGGATTGGTAAACCATCCTTCTATTGAAACGCTAGAGCGCACGTACGGAACAAAGTGGAGATCCTCGGCAAAAGAATCAAAGTTCTTTTCAGGATGCTTGTTGGTCATCAAGTACGTCCAACGTCTTGCGCGAAGCGGACTGTCTGTCCAATCATTCATCGAAAAGGCTGATGCTGAACGTGGTCGTAAAAGTATCGACGCATTTTCGAAATGGGTACGCAATAATGATCGCGATGATAAAAATTAGTTTCTATTTGTTTTGAACAAAGTACAATACTTACCTAGAAGTGGACCATAACTGATCTTGAGTTTAGATCAGCAACTTGCTTCGAAAACTTTAAATCGTAATGCAGCCATGATAGAAGCTGATGCATCAGATTTAGCAAAACGACGCTGTGTATCGCGGAGGATGTATGGGCTTGCACTAAAAGCGTAATCCGGGGTACAAGTACGTGATGGTCTTGCAGCAGCAGTGCTCCGAGTACCACATTAGTGATATAATCCAGTTAGCTCTAGAAGCTGTCGAGACGTGCGTGTCTGAATTACCATTAAGGGTTAACGTCGATGATGACACCGTTGCTGCTGTCGTATCATTGCATGCAGTGCTCGTCGGTGCCTTTGCAGTGGCAGTGGGCATCTCAGACGTGGGCGGTGTTCTTTCCGGTGCTACTTGGGGTTGGATCTGCAGTGGCCAGAACTTGCGCCGAAGTCGTGGATCCGGGCGTGGCGGTGACCGAGGAGGAACTTCTGTCGTGGCGTTGGAGATGGACGCTGCCGCACCGCTGCATGCACATGCACGCCTTGTTTGTGGCTCTAACAGGCCTCTAAAGTCAATCTCAAGCTCGTATTCTGCGCTGCGTCCAAACGGCAGCTTGTTTGCTACTACTTGGTCTTTCGGCAAAGAAGGAAGCCCACCCAAAAATTTGTGACGCATCCTCCAATGAACGCGCAGTATTTAGGTCACGACCAAAGTGCTAATCAAAAAACCAATTGGACACAAGTGTACGTTTTTGCTTCGCATAAAGCCGACGTGTTGAAGTTTCCCGTACGTGTTTGTTTTACCATGTTGAATTAGCAAAACACGAGCTATGCAGGGCCGGAAACCTTCATTGTCAAGCAGCTGCGAAAACATATCAGCCAATTCTAAGTCGCGTACATTTTCGCCCCGAAGTAATCCGTAGTGAGATAGCAAAAAGGCTGCACGTCCACGAAGGTCATCAAGCTGCAAAAATGCATCGCAAATATGTTGGAATTGCAATTCAGAATGATAGCCGTCTAGAAGTGAATCGACACCCCGATCTTGATAATTCTTCTTCTTCGTTTGAGTGGTCTGAGCTTGCACATTTCTAATCAACTGTTTCACTTGGACAGACCGCGGGTGCTCGTTCGAGTTGATACGCAGCGCGACTTGTTGATTGTATAAATCTACAACAGCATTTGTGTACCCACATACAGTCGATCCTTCAACAGTGCTGCCTTTCTTCTTCTTAGATTCTCTCCCTACAGCTTGCTCAGTCAGGAAGAGGTGCAGTTTCCCCTTCGTGACGGTGGCACCATCGCAAAATTTCTTGGCAGTGCACCATGCACTGAATTCTTTCTGGTAGCCACCGTACTTCCTCTTGGTATTAGTAGGGCGGGACTCCAACGTGGCCTGGAACGTTGAGCGTTCACACGCTTCGATTTGCACTTGAATTGCGCTGTCATCCACTGGTGAGCGTATACTTTCTGCTAAAGATGCTGCTGCTGGCGAGCGAAGAGAGGTGCCAGATTGCTTAGCCATCTTGACTGGGTCTGTTCGAATGTGACGGGTGAAGTAACAGGAAACACATATTTTGGTTAGGTCACAAATTTGATAGTGACTTGGGTCCGGACCCATACGACCGAGACACATGATACCCATTAAGTAAATGAAGGCTCTATCGTAAAGTACTCGATTGTGTACACAACTTTATTTTCGGGCTAGATGTATATTAATAACGATCATTTATGAGCTCAAGTGTAATAATAGAAACTGAGCAATAGCAGTTTAGCACCTTCTTCCAAACCAATTGTTAGGAAGAAGGTTTTTCACATTGGTGTGAGATACACCAATGATTACATCTCAGTATTAATTACTGAAAATGCGATGATAATTTTTGCGGGCTACATATTTCATTTTGAACTGACCTTTTCTCATTTTGAACGGAGAGATTCTCAATTTGATCTGAAAATGGTGTACAGTACTGACTAACATCAATCTTTGGATATGTATTCATCCCTTGTACTCTATGCAAAGACAAGCACAATTACCACAGGTAGTTGTTGTCAACCCACCACTGGGTCTCGTAGTCCTCGCCGAGGACTTCCTTGATGGTCACAGGTGCGTCGAGCTGTCCGCTGAAGGCAACACGGTTGCCAGTGTTGGCACCGGGACCTGAGTTGTTGAACTCCTTGAAGATAATTTTATCCGTGCTGGAAGTAGCGTCCCATTTCGCCCAGCCCTCCGGCTTGACCACGTCACCGAGCTCGCTGTTCTGCCAGATGACCTTGGCGTACGGACGCCACGGGCGGCCTAGAACAGTCGAGTTAACGCCACTCTTACCGAATACACGGGCACGGTTAATGACGAATGTGGCCGAGCTGGACTCGGATTCACGCCCACTTGCGGTAATGAAACCGGTGCCGATGGTCTCGATGTCGCAAGACTCGAACCAGGCCTGGGCGTAGCGACCGAAGATAAAGTCAGTGGCACCGTTGATGTACGTGCGGGCGTAGAGCTCACGGCCCTTGTCGGCGAGAACAGTGTCCTGATAGCCCGTGAGGTTGCACGCGTAGAAGCCATAGTCGGTGGCGTTGACGTTGACGGCCAGCGCTTGACCCACGTTGCCAGCGGTATTAGCGATGTTGAGGTTGTACACCTTTACGTTGTCCGACTTGAAGCGCACAGTACTGGTCATGTCGTTTCGAGCTTCGCCCGTCACCTCGGCGGGGATGTCCTTCTGGGCCTTTGCCTGGGTAATGGTAACCTCGTTGCTGGCGTATGACATAGCGTCGCACGTGAAGCCCTGGAGCACCAGTGGGCCCGACAGCGGCGAGATCAGCACCTGTTCGTTGTAGACACCAGGACGCACGAACACAGTCTGCTCCGAGGTCGTCTTGGGGTCCAGTTTTGCCACACCCTCCGACACAGTCCGAAAACTGTTCTTGTAGGCACCCGTGGCGTCGACAACAATAGCGCCAGTCGGAGGGTCCGTACGCGCATTCGGTCCGCTGCATGCGCGGTCGCCAAGAGCTCCGACAGTGGTGAGACCGGCGAAAGCAACGAGGGGTGCAATGATCTGCATAGTCGAGTTTTGGGTCTTGTGTGACGTGGAAGGTTAATTCAGGAATGAGCTGGAGATTAATAGAACGTGATCGTTATCGGTGCTTTCGATGATCGTGCTTCGTATGCTCGCGATTTTGCAACTCGTTGGTGGGTTCCCCTTCCCCGCCCAAGTGGCCTCACGGATATCTAGCTTATGGCTGTCACGGCCTTCGTATGATACGATCGCTTTGACTTTTTTTGCCTGCGAGTCTTGACTCATAAATAGAAAAACTTGCTTCCTACTTATAAAGAATACATGTACACCGATGAACATATTTTTATTAATGTCCGCCATGGTGTGCAAGACTGAAGATACAAGGGATTCTTTGTAACGTTGATGATCACTACAGCCCTATTATTATAAAAACCCTGCCTAGTACAAGTATGTATTATTTCCTAGACACTTAGTTTTCGCGACCCCGTGATGGTCCCTACTCCAGATGATTACTGTACCGGTACTTGCATTAATCAATTACCGTATTCCTTATGTGATTGACGCACGAACATTACCGACAAATCCAGCAGCCAATCAAATTCATTTGAATTTCGTGTCGTCGCGCTTTAAGTGCTTAAGTTTCCAGTTTGACCAACCATCGTGCAAATGGCCCGTTCTTGTGAGATCTAATTTGGAGTAACACCATTTTTACTTTTAAGCTACGGCATTTGGCCCATCACACTTTTCAAGCAGGCTGCAAACCTGGTCAAATACATAGACCTACGTTACCGCATCGAAGGGCACGGCTCTTGGTGCTTCAAGAAATGAAGCCCTCCAAAACATTTTTTATTGTGGGACAACTTAAATGTTGTTTATATGGTACAATGAATACTGTAGTCGCTGCTTGGCTTTGTTTGTGCATTTTTTTCTTCTCTGAAGAAGGGGTACCCTTGAAGCGTCAGATCATGCGGTAACGTAGGCTCTATGTATTTGACCAGGTTTGCAACCTGCTTGAAAAGTGTGATGGGCCAAATGCCGTAGCTTAAAAGTAAAAATGGTGTTACTCCAAATTAGATCTCACAAGAACGGGCCATTTGCACGATGGTTGGTAAAGCTGGAAACTTGGCCAGGAAATGGTGTATAATTTCGCCCATGTTTTATACTATAATACGTAGTAGTTTTTCTAAGCATGTATCTTTTATGCTGGCAGATAGGCTGGACCACCTCAGGAATATGACAGTCGCCAATCACATAAGGAATACGGTACGGAGTATTTTTATTAAACTTTGGGAGCGGACACTAACTTTGAGTGTCCGCAATCAGCTCGAGTTTGCCGCTTTACATGTTATGTGTTCTGGGCTCGCTGACCGCATGTTCTCAGCAAAATTGAATCTTATGCGGAAGTAATTTGGCCCAAACGTCTGCTCGTCCGGGACGCGCCACTGCTGGCATTGGAGAACAGTAATAAAAACTAAATCCGTGAAATGTTGATGGCAAGCTCCCCAGTACACCAGTTGGCAATCCCAACTGGTGTAGGGAATGCGCCGCACGTTCACGTGAATACGATCCTCTTTGTATAATAGTACCCGTCGGGAAGCCACTTTTTATCACTATCCGGAGGAATCTCTATCCAGAGCTGTAATATTACAAGGGTGCCATTGGCTGCATGATTTGCTGCCAATGGATTATGCAAACCTGTACCAAAATGAAACATGTTTTATTTTAAAATGGTTTTTGTATTGGGACAATGGTGGCCGTAAATTGTGTCCAGCTTGACAAATCTATTTTTTGTATGTGAGCCTCCCTATAAAGTGCAAAAACGCGAGCGTTAGCACATCCTTGCTATTTTGAAACATGTTTTGCAACTTGTGTGAAAACCGCACCGTCAAATAATTAAAATTGACTGAGTTATGGGCGAAAAAATTAGGAAGCGCACTATTAAAGGTCCATGGCTACTTGTAACTCTTGCGAAACTCAACACTACACGATTAAGTGTCCATGTGTCAGCGTACGATTTGTTGGTCTAGTTCGCATTCAAAAACGCCTACACTTGCTCTAGAATGGGCAATTGTCGCCTCATTTAGGGTGATCTCTACTTTAAGTCACCAACTAGCAAAGCTGAGGCGTAATATAGCTTCGTGATATATTACAATACATCTCCGCTGTAATTCATTGAGCGAGGCATACCGTATTCTCTTGGCCCAGCTCACGACATTGCAATTCTATGAGGGTCTACAGGTCAAATAGCCCTATTTCTAAATTTGGGTACCTCGAGCTCCCTAAGCTCGAGCTCCATAGTTTTTTCCCTAAACTACCTCTCACCTCCAGGTTCTACTTAGTGATACAAAACCGATGGCTTTTACTATACAGATGCCCTTAACTATAGATATTGCTCGCTTTATTATCTACAGTAGGTATTTGTGAATATTATTCAATTCAATTTCTTATTATCTCATTTCCACAATCCTTGGGGGTCAAACGAGCAAATACATTAATAAGAGCTTATGCAATGACCATCAGCTCGATCCGAAAAGGGACGAGGAGAGGCGGGTATTTCTTGACTGCTTGCTGCTTGTTCTCCAAATACGAAGTGAGAGAGCTCGCCACGTGTGGTCAGCAACAAGCAGGAGCAGTGTATACCGGTACCGTGTCGGTATAAAAAAACTGGTGTGGAAAACACCATTCATTATTGACTTTATTGAATATTATCTCAATTCAGTCAAATATTATTCATGGCAGTCCTAAAGACACGTGCGGGTACACTCCTGGACACAATGATACGGCCACCTCGTCGAGTGGCGGGGTGTCTTAGAATATCCTGCACCGTGTGGGAAGAAGCCAGCATTTATATAGCGCTTCGTTCCTGTATCTGTAGGAAATCTGGAGCTTTCCTTGATTTTTTTTTTGTAAATGGTGTTTGTCTAAGGGTTAAAGGTCCTTCATCAATACTGGTAGATACTTGAGTAGTACTATCCCGTTCATTCACTTACCTTTATAGAAGAACGGTCTGACCACCATCGACTACGTATCAAATGTTGCATGCCCTCATAGACTGCTAAGATGCACAAAATACCACAAGAAAGAGCAAAAGACCACTCTAATGCTCTCTAAACCTACGAAGGGGTCCGTGGACGAGGAGGGGCACTTATGCGGAGAACAGGTCTGTAATCATCACTGTCATCTCGGACGTGTAAAATATATGTATGATATAGGTAGTTGTGCTGAAATTGTGGCAGCTCAATTAAACCAACCTGACAACTTTGTTTAAAACACAAAATGCATTTGGGTACATCAAATAGCCCTATTTCTAAATTTGGGTACATTGAGCTCCCTAAGCTCAAGCTCCGTTTGGTTACAAAATTTGTAACCATTAGTGACATTTAATGTCATCTGATACGAAACTTTCAAAACACACGAAAAGATTAATACTTGGGAGCTCAAAAGCCGATCAGATTTTTGTAGGGTTCGTAGTTATTCCAAGATTTTCCAAACAAGTAGTATGGTAAAGTCCGAAGTTAGAAGCTTCGTGAGCAGTGCAGATGAAAGTATATCCAGGGAGGACAGCTAGGAGAGCTTTATGGACAGCCTTACATAGATCAATTCAATCGAAAAAAAATTGCTTAGTGACACGCACAGCAGCATACCTGAGATTAGTCCTGAGGATGATCCGTTTTCCGATAGGCGGTAAGGTCCCGAGACCAGAAGCGTATTCTCAGCAGTCGGTTGTAGATAGAAGCAGGAGCGGTAGATTATTCAGCTTTCTGCATAGTAGTGCAACAGTCACTTCAAGCGCCCCTTCCGCTCCTTCAAGCTTCTCGAATGTCGCCAAGACACCTTGCTCCGAACACGCTTGCCTTTCTCGGCCCAGGACACGCCTCTGAGCTGACAGAGTTCTGCTATGTACGCCTCCGCCGTGTATTTGGCGAGGAAGCGGTTGCTCAAGTCGTGCGACCTAACTCTGATGAGGACGGGTAAGAAATATTGGTGCCTATTTCAACCCTCGAACTCCGGGTTGTTGAAGCGGAGGAGGGGAAGCTGTGGCTAGGAAGCTACTTGGCGCACCCAGTAGCGCTCATTCAACCAGGAGGACCACGAACTGACCAATGGGCTTACGGCGCTGTTCTTCGCTACGATGTGAACTCGAAAGGAACCTGCCTCACTGTGCTTTCCGGCGATGACACCATCCTTGTCCCTTTGCTTGAGCCGATGTGTATTATCAAGGCAGACCCAATCACCTACGCGCTTCAGATCGGTGCAACAGTATCCGACATGATGCTAAACCCGAAGGAACTTCTCCTTCACCAGGACACGTGCTGCAAGAAGCGGGGCGCTCTTCCTCCATCGGTGCGAGCATTACTTTCCGTGCCATTTCCTCCCGGCGAACGTATCCCTCTCGTTCAACCCTCTATTTTTTGTGTCGTGTCCGTACGTCGCCAGCATATTTTAAATTGTTCCATGGGAAAACGAAAGAGAAACGCGCTCGATTTATACCGCGACACGATACCGGACAGACAAGACGAGACTGCGTCAGTTACGAGTGAAGCTAGGCCAGTTGGAAGACGTTCAAATAGCGCTTCAAGCACATACAGTAGCTCAGATGATGCGAATATACAGGAAGTTCAGCTAATGAACCGTTCACTCGGCAAACGACGGCGCGCAACAGACCCGAGCCTTCGAGACCGCCGCAGTCGACTACGCCTCGACGATAGTGAACAAGACGAAGACAGTGAGGGCCTCGGCACCCGTGAAGCGTTCCGGCAGTCAGTAACCCAGAGATGCGTTAGCAAGACTGTTCTCCAGCCTCGTTTCCAAGGTAAGCCTGCTGTGTATGTGCTAGAACGAATGCAACATTCCAGAAACGCGTCGTTCCTGCGGCTCCCACCAGTATGTCGTGGGCTTCTGGATTTCGGTTTCCTCGCGCGGGGCCTTACGTTGATGCACTGTCGACCGGCCGATATATGGACCCAATTAAAAGCACAGGAATCCAACACCAGTATGACCGATTTCTCGGAGCGCAACGCACTACGCGTCGCGCCCTCAGCAAC